GATAGCCATGGCCTGACTTGTTCAGTATTGTTGACAGAGGAATCAGTGCAATGACAAACAGGAATGGTAACAGTGAGTCTCCTTGAAAGATTCCTCTCTTGATATTAATCTCTCCCAGTCTATCACCATTGACCAGCAACTGTGTTTTCCATTGTGCCATTGATCTTTGCACAAAGCTTATGTTTCTACTGACTTCTGTTATTTCTGGGCACTTGATTATCCAATCATGTGTCAGGGAGTTGAATGCCTTCTTGAAATCAATCCAAGCGACATTCGAGTTGGCCTTCCTTCCCTTGCAGTTTTCCAAAGTCATCTTGTCAATTAGGAGCTGATATTTTGTTCCTCTGTTGTTTGGGTGGTTTCCTTTCTGCTCAGGTGGAAAGAGCTTGTTTTCAACTAGACGCTGTTGGACTGCATCACCTGCTGCTGCTGCTGCTTCTGCTGCTGTTGTTGTTGTTGCTGTTGTTGTTGTTGTTGTTATTATTATTATTATTATTATTATTTTGCTTTGGAAGATAAGGATGGATTGTTGTTTTTTCTATGGAGCTAACTAGGGGTTCTTTTAGGGTAAGAGCAACCATTGATGTGATGGAATAAGAGAGAAATATCTGCTCTTTAACCTGGGCCTTAGCTTCCAGAAGTCTTGACCTGACTTGCAGTCTGTGAGCTTCTAGACAGTCAATGTTAACTAAAATAATAGGAACATCCCTGTAATCTTCCCCTGTCCTAGAAATAGAGTGATCCAAAAATGGTAGGTGGGAAAAAGATTACAGAGGGAATTGGTCTTTTTCACAAAAGTGGTTGTTTCTTCTGACTGAATAAAAGCCTCTGTTTTACTCATCTTAAGATTTAATGTCTTACTTTAGCCTAAAGACCATATTTTAGGAGAAGGCTTGGCAGTCCTTTAGACGATGGAGTATATTGAATATTTTTTATATTTTCAGGGTAGATTTTTCACTAGGAGACTAGAAGAAGATAGAAAGTACTGGTATAGTAGTTTGTAATCTTGTTACTTGTTTGTCTCTGATTCTCTTTTGGAAGTATAGCTAATATACTTTGGATGACATGATTAAGAGGAGCAAGTCACAGTAATGGAGTGACTTAACCATTTTTCATCAACAAAATATAATGTTCTTTCAATTTTGGCATAAAGGTATATGAACGGATAACCTTGCAATTGTACAATATATGTTGTGTTTTGTAACAAGAGAAGTTTGGGTTTGATTTTACTGGGTCTTTTGGTGAAAGTCTTTTCCAACAGAAGGTAAGCCATTTCTGTGAAGGCAAACGAAGTGTCAGATTATGACCATTGTTTAGTTAACAGAGAGAAGATGAGAGGTATCATGGTCCAGAAACCTGGCTGCTCCATATCACTCTGGGGACGTATCACATCTTTACAGCAGCAGTTAGCTGTTGTACAGAAATCAAAAAGAACAGCAGTATCGTCTCTCAAAAAGTCCAGGGAAGCAAATAAAAGATTAACATCCCAACTGCATCTAACCAAACAGCAACTTCAGACCAGCAAACAAAATGTTCAGGTAAAAGCTTATTGTAGTCTTGATATGTCAGAAATCTAACATTTAGTGATTAAATGTACAGTATTGCAGTTATAAGCCTATGAGTTCCAAGCACCCTGAAATTGGATATATTGTCTCCTGAAATCATAGATATGGTTCACAAATCTGTCTGAAAAGATCAGGATGATGCATAATGCTTCTGAATATGGAGTGCCAAGATATGAAGATTAGAAGGCACTAATTGGTTCTTTTCTCAAGCAATCCATATTTTGCTCCAAATGGTTTATTTTCCTGGAACAGTTTTATGAAAACAGAAATGGCAATCATAGAGAGGACGTCTCTTGATAACTGATGTGAAGAATTACATCACACTTATTTGCAGAAATTCTGAACTGTTGTAGATTATATACATGAAGGACCACTGAAACATCCAAATGGATTTATAATTATGCTACTTGCCCTGACTTTAGTAGCCCTACATATTTACACAGAAGATCAGCATTTTGTGCACTGGTCAGTTTGCATTTTTTTCCTGCGTAGCCACTGCAGTTCATGTAGATACATTTTTCTTTTCTTTTTATATATGCACTATAATATGGGATCAGCAAGTGCATTCATACTTCTCCACATCTTCAGATATAATTTGAACTGTGTTATAGCTTTAGTTTTTTAAACACATAGTCAGATTTAGGAATACTATATATATATGACATTTGAAACTTATATTTATTGGTAATTTAGAAAGCCATAATCCAGTCTAAGAGACCTTCTATGTAGGAGCTGATTTCTACATAATACAGGCAGTGTAAATGCAGCTGGACATCCACATTGCATTGATCATCCAGGACCCAATAAATGGATATACATTTCCTTCCATGCGATTTGCATATCCATAGAGGGCTATGACATTCATGCAGTTAATCAGTTAGCTAAAATAGGACTTGGGTCAAAACCTTTTGAGGCAGACTAGTAGAAGTGCTTTTCCCTAAATTGAATTGAAGGGCTCATCTTACATTCACTGATTGTGAAGGATTAACCTTACATTAACTGGTAAGAATAGAAAAAAATTCTGTAGAAAGCAAAGGAATAGACAAGAGATATAAATGACTACAAACATTGCTGCTGCTGAAAAATATGGATACCTTTGAAGAATCACTTGAAAATCAACCATTGGTTAGATCGAGAAGCCTGCCTAATTAATTCTTTAATCCTTAATACCTAAATAGGATTTCTCTCTTCTTTTATTCCTTCCCGCTGCAGTTATCCCTTCTCCTCACTCCTCTCCATCCTGTTTTATTTTTATTTATTTATTTTTAATCCTGTTTTATTTCTTCTCTTTCTGGCTGTTCCTTCTGGACAGAGGAAGCAGAATGTGTGTGCTTCTCTATAACAGTAATTGTTAATATATCAGAATATTTGCTTGTGAGAGAGAATGATTGCTATATGCAGATGCAAGATTGGCTGATTCTATAAATATGGTGACTTTTTTTTTACAGGCAAGTAATCTTAATCAGCAGTTATTCATTAATTTTTTTGTCCTGGATCTTGCCTTTTTTGGAGTATGGTTTCTGGCATATATGTGACACATGATATGAAAATAACATACTATATTTTTCCTTGCTGGTACATAAAAAGATAAATCATAAGATACAAGAAACATTAATGCTGTCCAAGGAAAAGTAAACAGTATGAAACAAATGTGAGAATTCAGGCAAAATATCTAAATATATGCCAATTCTGATTTCTTCTTAGCATCTGGTTTTAATTGGGGTGCCACAGGGCTTGACTCTTTCTCTCCTTTTATTTAATATGTACATGAAACTGCTGGGTGAGGTCATCCATCAATTTGGGGTCAGGTATGATCAATATGCTGATGATACCCAATTATACATCTTGACCCAGGGCCAACCAACTGATGCTGTTGAAATCCTGACCAAGTGCCTGGAAGCTATGCAGGCTTGGATGGGAAGGAACAGACTCAGGTTCTGTCCTGACAAGACAAAGTCGCTTTGGTTTTTGATTTCCCCACCCACCCAATTCTGGGGACATTCCATATTTAGGCTTTCATGGGGTTGCACTTCCCTGTGCGAGGCTGGTGCACAATCTAGGGGTCCTCTTGGACTCACAGCTCCCGTTCAAAGTGGAGGTGGCAGCTGTGGCCAAGGGGGCTTTGCACAGGTTCATCTCATATGCCAGTTGTGACCCTTGCTGGATAGGGGGACCCTTCAGACATTTACTCATGCCTTGGTCACCTCTTGATTGGACTACTGTAATGCACTGTACGTGGGGCTGCCCTTGAAGATGACTGGGAAACTACAACTGGTCCAGAATGCAGCATTGCAGGAAGTGATGAATGCGTCATAGTATGAACACATATCTCTGCTGTTTCACAAGCTGCACTGGCAGCCAATTGACTTCTGGGTGCAATTCAAAGTGCTGGTTATCACCTATAAAGCTCTTCATGGCTACTTGAGGGACTGCCTGTCTCCATATTTTTCCACCTGTCTGGGGAGGCAAGCTAAAGTGGACATGCTCCAGGTCCCATCAGTTAAGTCAGTGTTTCTCAACCTTAGCAACTTTAAGATATGTGGACTTCCACTCCTAGAATTCCCCAGTCAGCCATTATGCTCAAGTGTGACTGCATAAATATCTTTCTGTCAGTTAACAAACCATTTTCTTCATCTCTATTTAATCGACAGTTATCTTCCCTGTATACAATATATGTCAACATTTACAAAGCTGAGCTATTATATTACATAAAATTAATAATTTTATAATAACAAAAATTAATAATTTTATAATTAATGAAATTATCACCTGAATTAAGTAGTATCACCTTGTGGGCCCCACGAAGCATGCTTCTGCCCTGTGGAATGCTATCCCTCTGGAGATCCGTACTGCTCTTATCTTTTTGATTTTCCACAAATTGTTAAAGACCTGGTTGAGCCCATTTGATTTTTGTTTCTGTCTTTTAGTCAACTGTATTCTTTGTCTCTGATATATGTTGTTTTCTTTATAATTTTTTAATTGTGAACCACACAGAGTAGTTGTAATTTTGTGGGACCTCAAAACTGAAATTATAAATAAATTTTTGCTTTCAAATATTTATTTTTTTTTTATTATTTGTGCCTTCAAGTCTGTGTTGACTCCTGGCAACTGCTTGGACTAGTCCCTGCAGTTATGATGCTCTGATAATGCTATTAAAGAAGAAATCTACACTTAAAAAGAGGTTTTAGCTGTCTTCCAGTAGCAATTAAGGAGGGTAACATACCTTTACAGTAACTGTAGATATAAAACATTGTTTTTCTGAAACTCCATTGCTCAGAGGAAATTGATCTACACACTGAATGTTTTAATAGCCATGTACTACCATCCTCTCATGATGTGATAAGAAATGTTCTTCTTTGGCATCTCTGAAATACAAAGAAGGATGAAGTAGAAATAAAAACAATGCTGAATTGATTCAAAAAGGTTTAAAATTGAAATGGCAGTAGCTTTATAGAAATTTGTTCCACATAATACACTCATGTAATATTATTTTTATGTAATATAATAGCTCAGCTTTGTAAATGTTGACATATATTGTCCATAGAGATAATTATTGATTAAATAGAAATGAAGAAAATGGTTTGTTAACTGACAGAAAGATATTTATGCAGTCACACTCGAGCATAATGCCTGTATGCTCTGGTAATATAAGATTAGCTCTTGATTTAAGAGTTAAGTATTCTAGATTCCATTTTGGGAGAGATATTCTAGCATCTACAACTTGAGTATTGGCAGATGTCCATTGGTTCCTGTGTATCTGTATTGATATATCTGTATAGATATAGATGAAAAGCTACAGACACATATACTGTACATAGAAGCATGTAATGGTAAGTATATCGTTTGTAGTAGAATTACAGAAGTCAATATTGTATAATCCTCATACTGTAATTTAAAAAATAGCCATTGTATTATGGCATGTTGCAATACTGCTGTAAGTTTATTGCAAATTTAGAGTTTGGTCTGCCATTCCTAAGATTCATGATACATATTGATTTAAAAGACTTTGTATATGAATAAAGAAGCTAAATTGTGCAATCAGTGTATCAAAATCACAGTTGGAATTTTGATGTTATGGAGGTTTGAAGGGATCTGGTATTTCAGGAGTTCCTTTGAAAAATGTCATTATTGTTAAAATCCAGGAAAAGTTTTTTAAAGCTTGTTTTCTTTCTCCTGCATTCCCTACGCCTAATGGCAGTGCTGTAATTTCCATCACCAGATGTCTGCTCAGATTAAGGCATTCTCTGCTGTATGTACTAGAGTAATGACAATTATACATGGGTAAGATATAACATTTGCACAGCGAAAACACATAGAAACACAAGGGATGTACAATTCAGTACAAAACTGCCATATTGTAATTTAAATCAGTAATTATTGTCTTTTAAATGTAGCAACCCAATTATGAAGGCCCCACAACTACAGAGTTACCCAGAATCCTTTGCTATGGTTCCCTTGGTGCTCCAGAAGTGGCACCACAGGAGTAATTGCATTGTTTTATGGGTTGCCTTTGACATCTGAAAAGGACTTAGTAGCAGAGCAAACCATCTTCATCTGAAGAGGCCAGGATTTAAAAAAAGGAACAGACTTTCAACCCACTAGGTAACTGTTTGCAGCTCCTTTGGGTAGCACTACACAAAAGTTGAAAGCAGTTCTTCAGGAGCATTCTTCCAGATGTGTAACTGTTTTCTTTCTTTTTAAAGTCTCTGTTTGATATTGCCATATTTCAACCTAAAGAATTCCTGCAATAGTACTTTAAAATCCACTGCAGGCACTTCTTGAACATTTCCAGTGTTGTTAGTAATTTGTAAAAGAAAATCTTTGCTACCTGATGCTTTCTGCATTTTACACTGAAAGACTTCTGAACATTTTAGAGTTAGCTGCTGCTTCAGTTTGGCATAACTTTAAAAGAGATACATGTGTTCAGATTTTAAAAAAACAACAAATTCACAAAAAATAAATGCTATTATTTT